CTTGAAGTTGTTCATGTAAGAACATCTCTTACACTCGTTAACGAGTATTTCAATAGTGAAAAGCAACAGGTGACAGACACACCTACTGTGCTGGAGTTGTGCGATGAATTTCGTTGAGGCAGCAGATGAGATCTTAAAGAGAATTGCTTGGCCTGGTTATATTTGCTTCACTCGGGGGAAACAACACTATGAGCTACCATCACAGTTTTCAATCAAGTACGAAAACTTACTTCCGGTGCCACGAGAGCCAACTACGTTCCTGAATAAAGAGGACATCAAACGCCTTAACGATTGGAGAAATNGTCAGTGCGGCCTCCCCGGCGCATGGAAGACTTTTTCTAACCGCAAAGGTTAAAAGACGATTTCAACCCATCGAACAAATCTGATAATCGGTCGAACAAGACTGTTCAATCATGCTTCACTAGCAATTAAACTGAACGCTCAAAATGCAAACGGTTCAACAATTGATGTACTAACTACGAATACTTAGTCCTACTTACGTCAAAAAGGGAAAGCAAGCACGAATACAGAAGAAGCAAACTCTAAACGTTACGTTTACCTCTTGATTTTTTCATTTGATTTTGAATTGGCAATAGCTATTACATCACATAGTGAGCTGAGACTTTCGTCTCTATGACGAGATGTCAGGAGCGACGATCAAACTGTGATAACTTGGTTAGTGAAACTTAGTTAGTGACCAGTAGTAGCTTTCATCAGGAACTAATGATGCCTAGCCAAAACAAAGGCCAGCCGAAATGAACAAGAATATTAACTTTTAGCTCTGTTTGAAAGTTAAACCCGGGTTTCTGATCCTCTTGATTAACCTGAAGACGGGAGCAACACAATGGAGGGCGGGAGTCGAAAGGCAAGGGAGCACACAAGTACAGGAGGCGGAAGAGCGTGGCACGGGAAGCGGGAGACTCCGACCCCCCTGTCGCCCCCACTTGCAGCGTTGAGTCAATTTTTCACTTACGTAATGTGAAAAAGTTGTCAACACTTAAGCGTCAAATAATTCGTGAAATAACGGGAATTTTTGGAATTGTACTCAGCCTAGCTTATTCTTAGGCCAGTCCCACACTGGGAAGAATATTCTCCACCATCAATTTACGTCACTAATTCGCAACGATGATGTGAAATTAATAAGGGCAGACAAAGTAGCTAGAGAGAGTCTGAGAAATCCACTTTGATGCAACTTGCGTGGAAGTACTGGTCACAACTGTCGCATCCCAACCAATCTTCTCCATCTTCGTCGTGGCACACTATGCAGACGTTGATGTTTCTCTTACAGCGGACGGAACATGTATTTCATTATCATTCACTTAAATATGTCTTCTTTTTTATTGGGTCAGGTCTCATGCTTTGACTCTTAACTCTATATCAGGATCAAACCCGATGCTTAGCAAGATTAAAGGATATGCAGTTTGGAAACAAGCTGTGACTTAGGTTACTTATTCGTGGATGTCATCGTAACAACAGCCAAACACCATAGATGTTATTAGTGTACGTTCGGTTGCTATGTCGAAAGCTGCATCTGCGGAGGACTTTTTTTTTTTTAATTTACAGCAAGTAAATATATGTACATGCAAACATATAATGAAATAGCTGACGGAAGACCTAGCAACAGGAATGAAATCCTTAATGATAAAGGCCACCAGAAACTATATATATGAAAACGAGAACAAAAATAAGGTATACATAATGATAGGCAATATCATAAAACGAGTAAAGCAAAATGCTACATGTTAAAAACTTAGTGCTAACTAAAATTAAATAGCAGTTACATTAAATCACTGCTATCAATAGCAAAACAGTAGTCTTAGGTCATTTTTGAACATTGAAAAGGATTCCCTTCTCCTAATAGATATAGGTAAATTCTTCCAAAGACTCTTCGCACAAACATCCAGCAAATTGAAAGAAACGATCGAAAATGACAATCCAAACATTTAGCGGAGGACTCTTCGCACAAACATCTAGCAAACTGAAAGAAACGATCGAAAATAACAATCAATCACTGCACCGGTATCGTAGAGGTGATAGGTTCAAATCCCGTACGGACCTAAAATTTCAGGCCTTATTTCCACCTACTAGATAAGTAGGGTTTATTACTGTGAGGAACGCTTTCATACATTTTATGAAAGCGCAGTACACATATATGTTGTTGTTCAATTTTATCATTGGTTCAAATTTTATTTTCTTTTGTTCTCGGTCAAGCTAATGTATGATAATGAGTTTGAAACAAAGGAAAATAAAATTTGAACCAAGGATAAGATTGAACTACAAAATATATTATTTTCATATATTTACTGAGTCGTCGCCATCATTACGCATTCTAGTGTCTTAGTCAAAAATTGTCTTACCCTTAAATGTCATCCTTTCGCGGGATTTCGCAATATTGGCGCATTTCATAATCTGCCCCCTGTTTATTCTTACCCTCGACGAACGCCTTTGATATAGCGTCACGAGCGTGCAGACAGGGGAATTTTTGGTTACTTACTACTTCACCCTTCGATACAGTACACCCATGATTAATACATTTATATTTACTTGCTGTTACAACAGGGAAGGTTTCGTGGCCAACAGATAAGTGCCGACTGCTTGTTTTACTCTAGACTTGGCCGTTTTTGGGTCCTAAATAAAGAGTCTGACTCGCACACACCATAGTCCTGATTACATCTAACTTTATTTGCTAAATCAAAGTGCTTATATACCGTGGTGGCTAGTTTTTACGTGATTAGATATGCGAGGGAAGGCATGTAGTTTCCTTTCTAGTAAACACCTTAATTCGAACGTGAGCATAATGCTTTGTTGTACGGTGGCCCATAAGGGACATAACTTCAAATTCAAAAAATTATCAAAATTATGGTAAATAAGACATTTTATTTGAAACAAACTACTTTAAATAAAATATTTTATTGCATATAAATTACTTTGAAATAGAAAAACCTCGCACACTACATACAAAATAAATTTTTTTGACTGCAAAAAAAAAAAAAATCATTCGCACTGCAAAGAAAAGAAATGTGAACACTGTAGATAAAACAAATTCCTACGCTGCAAACTAAAAATTTGTGCACTACAAGCAAAATTCACTGCACACTGCAAACAAAACAAATTTTCTGCACGCTGCAAACAAAACAAATTTTCTACACACTGCAAACATAACTTCTGCACGCTGCAAACAAAACTTCTGCACGCTGCAAACAAAACTTCTGCACGTTGCAAACAAAACTTCTGCACGCTGCAAACAAAACTTCTGCACGCTGCAAACAAAACTTCTGCACGCTGCAAACAAAATAAAAGGTCTTGCGCGGGCAGGTAAACGTGAAGGACTGAAACCTAGTCAAGTTTTCGCGGGGTTTGCTGCCAATATGGCGTCGAAAAGTTGAATATCGAACGCGAAAACTTGCAAGTACAGTGCCCAAAGTCGGAGGTCGGAAGCCAAAACTTAAAGGACAAATGCTAAATGTTGGATGCGAAAACATGAATGTGGACTCCACTGAACTTGAGGGTCGAATTCGAAAACTACACTGTTGCCTCTAAAAAGTTGAATGTCGAAAGCGATAGCTTAAATGTTGCATAAACAAAAGTTGAATGTTGAATGCAAAAAGCTGAATCGCCAGTGCAAACTCGAATGACAAACGCAAAATGTAAAAAATATTGTGGAAAGTACGATGTAAAATAGAACATTGAATTTTGGCGGAAATGGAACGCCATAGAGGAATACTAAAGTACTGAATATCTTAACAATCTATAGCACCGACAGATGATACTTCAGTAGAATGATTGTAAAGAAACATATGTAAACAAACATATACAGTCAATGTGCCAGTTTTTCGATAAACGTGGTTACCCTGTTTCTGTCGTTCAAGTGGGTTACCACCGCGCCCAACTTATTGATCGACATTCAGCACCACGAACGTCACAAAAGGAAGATTCGCAACGAACGCTTTTCATTCCACTAATTTATTCGTGTTTTTCTCGTTGCCATTTTCCCATCAATAACGTAGCTCCATTTTCTGCCTTTAAAAGCACACACAACCCACAATTCCTCTATTCGCTCCGACGAAGGGTAAACGCTCGAAACGTCAGCTTTTGCAATCGTTACGGTGGCCAATTTACCATTTCAACTTTGTTGATGTATCCAAATTATTTCGTTACCCCCACCGACGCAGCCCCAAACAGTTTCTTTAGAAACTATCAGCCTTTAAACAAACATATGGATTGTTTCGCGTAAAAACAGCAGTACACAGTTGACCGAATACAGAAATCTAACTAGACGACCTATTTTCTAGTTTTTATTTCCATTTTTTTTTCAATCTTTAATTAATCAGTTACGGAAATTTAGTTTGTATTCATCAAATCTTTCATTTGCTGAATCAACATTGAGTTATTTGCTGTGTCTTAGCTTTGATTTATTACAACACAGATCTGTTGGTCCTTCCTTGCGTCTCTCCTATAAGTCTGTCATGGTTTGAGAGAAAACGAAAACATAAACACCATCTAACCGATGGTGAGTGAATCTGCATGAGTTGCAGTTAGCGCGATTTCTTATTGATTCACGCAGCTGTGTGCGACAGTTCTATACAGCTTAGTGTATGGAATGTAGAAATATTTCGAGAGGAATCATTCTGAATTAACCTAAAACGCCCATTTATACAACAATAACGATTTGCGGCGCTTTATAATTCAAAACTAAAAGTACAGAAAGATGCACTTGATCAATGTTAATGGTAGAACACAAATATAATAGACACAGAGGTACGAGTAACACAAAATGAGAAAGGGCTGACGCTCGAAACGTCAGCTTAGAAACTCTTTACGGTGGCATCTCTACATCATCGACCCAGTTGGTAAAACCAAATTGTCTTGTTACACTCCACCACCGACGCATAGAGGCACCTGAGTTTCTTTAAATTACCTTCTTCTAGTCTGACGGAGTGGAATCTGGAACAAGTCCTCACCTTACGCGCAAAAGTGCGCGCAGGCAGCCTAGCCCCGCG